TCACAGTTTCACTGTTGTTTTCCTAAGTAATTATGAAATTTGGGCAACAATACAGTTAGCAAGCTCAGGCCTCTTCCACTTCTAATGCCACTGCAAGTGCAAGAAGGGGCTTCCCCAAAGAGGAACTTAAAGGGGTTCCTCTCAGTTTCTATAATTTGTTAAGATGCTCAGAACTCATTAAAAGCTACTATAATCACAATTGCAATTTATTATGGAAAAAGGTTTGGATAAAACCAGACAAGAGAAGAAGCTCATTTGGTGAAATCTGGAAAGATTAATCAATAAAATGCCAAAAGGTAAAATAAAAACATTATAAAGAAAAGTGAGGAAAACTATAAATGTAAGAACTTTTAAAAACAGGAAAGTTATTTGGAAAAACATAAAATAGAAAACACATAAAATGGGCAAATCATTTTTAAAATACCATTTAAAAAAGTACTTGAAAGAAAATATGTAATGTAAAGTAATAGATATTTCATGCAATAAGCAAAGCTTTTCGGATGATAGTAAACTAGAAAAGTTTCCAATTAATTTTATATGCAAAACCAGGCAATGTTAATTACTAATTTACTCATGAACTTAGTTGCAAAATCTTTAACAAAAACTTACCACACGAATGCCATAGAAATATAATTGGAATAAAGTTAGTTTTATCCCAGGAATATAAGGTTTAGAAAAATCCATTAATATATTAAAGCACAAACACTATGTGATAATCTCAATATGCACAGAAAAGGTATTGATAAAATCTATTCATGATTAAAAACTCTTAGCAAACTAGAAATACAAAGCCTTCTCTTAACCTCATTAAAAGCATCTATAAAATAGAAAAACAAAGATGTTATATCTCGTTCTATTCATTATTGTTCTGGAAAACTTATCAAAAAAAGAAAGAAAAGGTATAATAAATAGAATGAAAGGAATATAGCTGCTGCATACCAGCACAGTTCTTTTTTTTTTTAAGGAGAAAAAAAAAGCAGAAAAAGGGTACAAGTTATACAGAATTTCAGAAAAAAAATAAACAGTAGGAAATCACTAGTTACTGGATTACATATTGTCATCCTAGAAATATTTGTTCAAGTTACAAAATTAAAGCATATAAAGTGGACATTCAAACAGTGAGACTGCAAACAGTTCTGTTCAATGATCCAACAAAACTCAGTAATATCATTGTCTATCTTATACACTTAAATATACATGTAGTTATATCGTTTAGAGCACTTTCTTTTCCTCTCTTTTGTACAATGACTATTATACATTTTGGGTTTTATTACTCCCACGGTTCCTATTACTTTTTTTTGGAAGACAGTAAAGCCAAATGTGACGTAACAGAACAGAGTCAGTCAAATCAAAAGGATGGACATAATAGATAATGTAAAAACATAATACAAGGTGATCAACAATGGTTACCATAATGCCTCCCGCTATCTCAAATAGAATTACGTATATCATCAGTGATAATAAAATTGAACAAAACAGTAAAGAACAAAACCAACAAAACCAAAACATGGGAAACATTACAGGTCTTCAAAAGTAGATAATAGACAACTCAGATGCCGGAGTAAATCACTGTGGAGAGACTTGGACAGAGGGTGATGGATCCTCTTGACCCAGGAAGAAACTAAACAGAAAAGAGCTGGTCAAACACACAGTCCTGGGGCTATATTGGAGCAGCTAAGATTAGTGGCCGTGGGGCTTGCGCTGGAGTGCCTGAACTCCCACTGCTGCCAGTCACACTAAAGTTGGAGGTTGGTGAGCCCAACATAGAATAGAGCTGGCAGGAACATGCACTGACCCACTGTGAATGCTGAGAATAAAACCCTCCTACAGGAAAGGAGCGACCGACTGGTTGACATGTTGGAATCAAGCAGGATGGGCAGGAACAAGGAACAGCAGTGACTTCAGTGGGTTGTTCCCTTCCCAGACCAGATTGGTGGGATCTGCTTGACCTGGGTCATGCCCCTGGCCAGGACTCAATAAGTCATGTCAAACCAATTCTGTATGCACAGCACACACTAATGCAGTGAAGGCCCCCACAGGTTGACTGACCTGGAAGGGAGAGGTCAGCATACACTGTCCCTGTTTGCACCTCAATGACCAAAAGCAAACTGGAGAGGGCAGATATCCCTAGCCGGCATGCTTCAGAAGAATCATAACCAACAAGGAAAGGGGCTGGGACCTCCTCTAAACATCTGTATGGAAGAAACCAAACACATGACAAGAGAAAGAAATAAGAAAAAGTCCCTACCCCCCAGCCCTGAGAACATTGATCAGGGAGAGGTACAGACAAAAGAGATTGAGGGCAACAAACATGCAATATCAGACACGGCATCAGTGGACATAAAGAAATATCTTCAGGACCTCATAGACGAGCTCAAAAGTGAAATATTTAATCAAGTAAAGCAAGATATAAATAGATTAATAAAAGAAATACTTTAAAGAAGACACAGATGGAAGAATGGAGGAACACAAAAAAAGGAGAAAAATGATGAATGAAGAATATAAAGAAAACCTAGAATACATGAAGCAGAGTCAAAGAGATTACAGGAAATTAAAAACTCCATTGAAAACTGGAAAAACTGATTGAAAGAAACTAAAAATAGTATCAAAACTTGAAGACAGGCTTGCAATGTGTGATCAGGAAAGGAAAGATCTACTAAATATAACAAGGAAACAGGCAGTCACAATACAAAGGCTAGATGACCAGCAGATCTAAAACTTAAGAATAAAGAATGTGAATGAAGAAGCAGGGGTGAAAACGAAGGAAATACAAAGGCTATTCACAGAAATAATTTAAAAAAACTTCCCAAGCATAGGAAAAGGAAATGATATTCAGATGTATGAGGCATACAGAACTCCAGCCACCTACAAACAAAACAGAGCTACACCCAGACATATAATAATCAAGATCCCAGAAATTCAGTATAAGGACAGAGTATTAAAATCCATCAGAGAAAAGAAATAGATCACCTATAAAGGAAAACTCATCAAAATCACAGCAGACTTCTTGACACAGACCATCAAATCAAGAAGAGCTTGGAGCAAAGTATTCCAAGCCCTGAAAGAAAATAACCTCCAGCCCATATTGATGTACCCTGAAAAACTGTCTCTAGAAATTAATGGAGAAACAATTTGCTTCCAAGACAAAGAGGAACTAGGGGAATTCATGATCACCAATCCAACCCTACAGAGACTACTGAAGGACATTCTAGAGAGAGAAAAAAAGTACCAGGATTTCAGAAACAGTGGCAGAGAGGCCTCAATAGATGGGGCAGAAAGTGGAATGAAGGAGAAAAACAGACAACTAATGGCAGAAAAATAGCATAGCATAAATAAGGCAGAGAAATTTGGCTATAATCTCTAATATAGATGGCCTTGATACACTAAAAAAAAAAAAAAAAAAAAACCCCACAGGCAGAGTAGATCAGAGTAGATTAACCTGAAAAAAGATTTATGGACCAAAAATCAAATATGAGAAAACAATGCTCTATGTGACAGGGAACCAGAGAGAAATAGGGGCAACTCGACCAGCACCTGCAGATAGGTTGGTAAGACGTGATACTTTTGTGCAGTAGAGAACTACTCAGCTATAATGAAGGAAAACCTTGAGGCTTTTGTAAGTAAAGGAATACAACTTGAGATCAAGTCCAGGAGTGAGAAGGTTCGAAACCACTTAGGTAAATAGCAGGTTGCCCCCCGCCCAATCTAAAAACTGAGGGAGTTGGTGGGAACCAAACTGTGCAATGTACCCTGTGGGAGTGAAAGGGGAGGAATAGTCTAAAAAAAGAAGGAAGAGAATATTGTATAAAATAGTGTATCAGGATTTAAAACCCACATTACTCAACCTGCTCTGTTTAGATGGATTATATTTTGTTCCAGTTTGTCTACTTGCACTAGATTTGAGGGCACAGACAGCTACCTCAGATATAGCAGGATATAGTGCGGTAATCATCCTTAATCTGAAGCCCCGTAAAACTTATACTGTGTTAGCATGACTGGTCTTAGCTGAATCTGGTTTGTTAGATTGCTGTTTGATATCAATGGATTTTATTCAAATCTATTATGATTGATAGTATCAAGTCTGAGAGTATAGGCAACTACATTGAAGATGACAAGGTTCACTACAATACCCATTCTGGTTTGATTATTACCTGCTTTTGAAGTTTTACTCGATCTAAAATGTTTTGTTTTTATTAATATTGTTATATACTGCTATATTTAATTATACAATGCCTGATGACATAGACAATTATATTGAAAATAGCAAGAGACAACACAGTAACCACTGTAGAGCACCTTATATTCTGTACACAGTACATTGTACTGTGGTTTTAGTTTAATGTTTTTATAGTAATATGTTTTGTTTTTCCCTCTAATGCAGAAAGGATAGATATACATTTAGAGACTGATAGAACATAGAACCTATAAACAATTTATTAGAGCTGATCACATAATGCAAGATGAAATGAACAACTACTTTGAAGAAAAAGAGACACTACAGTACCCAGTGCTGATTCTATGGCATCATAATGTGAAATCAAGCAATACTATTATTCTTCATTCAGAATGATTTTAGTCTGTTTTGTTTTGTTTAATTTTAACATACATGAAGGTATGGACAGCTATTTTGAAGAGAATGAGAGACATTATGACAGTTATTATTGACTTCCTTGTTGTCTGATCTTGAAGACCTAAAATACCTTATTCATCTTGTTTAGATCAGTTCTATATTACGTTGTTTCATGTGAATTCTCTGTATGTGAAGATATGGACAACCATTTGGAAGAAAACCAACAATATGATAGTGAAGATCTCTGATTGTCTTGCTTTGAAATTTATGCCTCTTACATTGCTTTCTTATGTTCTGTCTTATTGTGTTAAATTTTATCCTCTAAAATAAAAAAAATTCTGGATTCTGAAACAAAACAAAACAAAACAAAACAAAAGTAGATAATAATCAACCAGAACGGGCATCATAATGAATCCCATTATCTTCACAGCTGTTGCCTAAACTTTCGAACCTGGTACTATCAAGCGAAACAGAATAGAGGAACATCAGTCAAAACAAGATGGTGAGAGCAATACAGGGCTTCAAATCAAGTAATAGAAAATTAAGGTGGGTTACTATAATATATCCTGCTATTTTTAAATTTATTTTCCCCTTAATTAAAAGGATAAAAATTAAAAAGTAAATAATAAAATGGAGATTGAGATAAAAGAGGGCATAACAACAAAACACCACAGATCAAAACATAACCATTTAAGCAAAATAGTGTTTCACCAGCACAGTTCTTGAAGTTCCCAAGGGAAAGGGTAGCAAAAGGATGGGAAAATAAAGACAACAGACAAAAGCTGAGGCCGGGTAGAGGTCAGGTGGAGCCCTCTCCCCTGATGGGAGCAAAGGAAGTGCTCAACTGCTATAGCACATTTATTTATACACTCAAGAGGAGGATGTCAATTTCAACCCCACTGCCTAGCAACTTGTTTGCCTGGCTGGCCTGAGCTCCTTTTCCAAGCTGGAACAGCTTTTTTACGTGGCTCCCTTTGGGCTCTCCATGTTCTCAGGACAGATCTTGCTTTAGCCCCATGTGTGTGATCAATCTCCAGCTTCAGTCACTCTTTACCCATAACTTCATATATGACATTGTTCATATTGAAAAGATTGTTAAAGTGGGGACTGGGGATTTAGCTCAGTGGCATAAGCGCCTGCCTTGCAAGCACTGGTTGTGAGTTTGATCCCTGGTACCGATTAAAAAAAAAAAGATTGTTAAAAGTAATTAAACTGTTTAGAAAGGTTCCACTTATAAAGTAAAATTATTAAAGATCTCATTTATTAAAAATCACATATTATAAGAATGAGTCTAACAAACCACCTGCAAGTGCTTTGTGAAGAAAAGTATAAAACATCACTGAAATATAATAGGAAAGATCTAAATAAAAGGAGATTATATTATATGTGACAGTTCATCTTGATGAGATTAAGAGATTCCTAGGCAGGTGATCAGATTATAAGGGCACTAACTTTATCAGTTGACCAACCCATTGATGAGTTAATAGATCAGTGGACTCTTAGAGGCAGGGCCTAACTGGAGGAGGCGGACATGGACCTTTGGAGGGTATGTCCTGGGCTATTTCCCTCTCTGCATCCTAGTTACCATAAAGTGAGCAACTTTCCTCCACTACACACTCTGCTGTGATTTTTCTGATTCTCTACAGTCCTAGAAGCAGTAGGACTAAATGAGAATGGCCTAAAAATCTCTGAAGCATGAGCCAAAGTAAATCTTTCTTCCCTAGTTGTTTATCTTGGGCACAGTAAGTCCCAAACTCAGGAACAAGTTCTCTTCTGGCAGAATGTTCATAAATCAGAGTTGTTCGTACATCCAACAAAATGAGTCTAATATAACTTTGACACAAATATACAATGTAAAGCACACATACACACAGAAAAAGCAAATGTGAAGTCTGTTCGTATCTGTGCAAGTTTGCAACCTGAGTGTTCATAAGTTCTGAATCAGTGGTACCTCTTTCATGAACTCAATTCTCTCCACAATTCTGGTCTCAAAACCAACTGAAAGAGAACTGAATCAAATTTCCCCATAAGCTCAGCATCCAACTTAAACACTGAATTGAATACAATTCTTGCCCAACTCAGTTTATGACCAACAAAAAGCTAACTATCAAGTTATGTTTATGTAGAGAAAAGCTTAATATCATAGACACAAAAAATCTCTGCAAATTCACATATAGAATCAGAGCATGAATTCAGATATTTCTAAAATTTATATGCAACACAGCAAGACACTGTCTCCAACAACAACAACATTTAACACTGCATCAGACATGGTGGCGTATGCCTGTAACTGCATCACTTGAGAGGCTGAGAGAGGAGGATCATCATGAACTTGAGGCCAACCAGGGTTACATGGCAAGTTCAAGGTCACTCTGACATGTACAGCAAGACCCAGCCTTAAACAATAAATAAATAAACAAATGAATAAATAATAAAAAGGAGGGTAAGAGGGATTGAAAGGAGAGGAGATGAATGGGGGAAAAAAGAAAGAATAAGCAAGATATATTATGTATACATACAAACTCCCTATGATGAATGTTATTTATATATATCTAAAATGTACCAATAAAATAAAAATTAAAAATATTAAATAGAATAATTTGTGCAAAAAAAGTATATGCAGAAACAAAGGTGCAACACCTAGATGCTACTGAGGAGAAGCAAGGCAGAGAAAGTTATTCTCAGTATTAAGACTGACTCCATTGCTAACCAGGCGAGGCAGGATGCTGATGCCAGGACAGGTGAGCCAACAGATTAAACAGAGGACTGGGAAGCAGACACCTGGGAACACAAAACCTCATTTATGCCACAGTGCGTACTGCAGGGCAGAGAGAAAGTTTTGAATCACTAAATATTCCATTGCCGTTTTATGTGGAAAGGGGAAGTAGGATTTTTATCCCCATCTGGTTCACAGGAATCAGTTTCAAGAAGAATAAAATTTTAAGTGTGAATTTAAGTATAAAGTATACCTTATATTTACCAAATATTAGCCAGATTAAAAAGTAAGGGATATAGATAGCAGTGTCAGTTAAAGACATAATTAAAACTGTATCAAGAATAAAAATACATTGTTTATAATTATAGTTGAGCAACAAAAAAAAAGGAAAAAGAAACCTATTTTTAAAAAACTATTAGCCCAAGCCACGCGGGGCCCAGGAAGAGAAAAGTCAGACTGAGCCTACCACGGGCTCTCCCGCCCTCCTGTACGCACCTGCTGGTTCGGAGGACAGGCTGAGTTGGCAGCAACGAGGTACAAAAAGCCACTGAATGCTTGAATTGTTTGGTTGATTTTGCAGGCCTGGAGCTGGAGGTCTGAGCATCTATAGGGACAGTGACAGTGTGCACTGTGGCAAGTATGGGGGTATGGGGGATTCCTTCTATCTCGTTTTTGAAATCCAATATTGTTCTTATTGCTTTGTTTCTTTACGATTAATTTTTTGTTTTATTCAATATTCTGTTTTGTTTTGGTTTGACATTGCTACATCTGATGGAGTGGACAACTATTGTGAAGTTAACAAGATATATGACAGTAGCCATTGTTGTGTTCCTATAGTCCTGCTTTGAAGTTCTGTACCAATTTCACTGCTTTGTCTTGCTTAGACTTATTTTGTTGGGTTTTATTATCTTTAAAATAAAATTTTTAAAAAGCTGTTAGCTTTTGGCCTTCTGAGGAGTGCGGCTGTAGTTTTGGTAAGAGAGCTAATTTATTTTGCACTGTCCTGAAAATACATGTGTATGCTACTTAGAAATCAAAGAAAACATAATAATGACACTCTACTTTTAAAAGTTGCAAAACATCTAACACTCCAAAGTAAGTAGGTCAAAAATAGGCAGCATCTACAAATAATATATCTGTAAAACCTTAGGATGAAAGGATGAAAAAGAAAGGTTTAATAAATCAAGGGATATGTAATGATCTCATAAGAAAGGATATTGAAGGATGCCAATTTCACTGAAATTAAACTAGAAATTTAACACTTTTACAAGAATGATTTTCTGGAAATCTTAATAAAATGATCTAAAAGTGCTTTATAAGACTATCAGGAAAAAATAGCTATGAAAAATTAACAGTTAAAAGACTCCATTTATCTTATGAATTAGAATAAATTATTAAAAAATCAATAACTTAAATAATTTGTTTCTGCTGGAAATGCAGATAGATTAATATAGCAAAATACAATGATCAGATGAGCACATCCAAAGCATGAGGCATGAAATCTACAAATGTAGTTGAAAATGTTTAGGCTGGAGATTTGGCTTATTTGCAAACAATATTGAAGTTTAACTCAGGCAATATTTTGGTATGTGAAAAGGAGGTTCTGTAGTAATTGGTAAAATATCATCTAACTTTTATAAAAATAGTTAAAGTTAAACTTGTACAGGTAAGCACACAAAGACATCAAGGATAAAAGCAACTAGCTGGCTGTGGGTGATTTTTGTGTTCTACTCTTTATCAGCATTTTCTAATTTTTTGAGAGGAAAATTTATTTTTAGCAAATCTGGTTAGCTATTTCAGGAAAATAAATGCAGATATAAACATACAATGTGGGAGGCTTTTCTTTAAAAAAAAAAAGCATTCCAAGGTGGGCATGGTGGTACACCCCTGTAATCCCAGCATTTGAGAGGCTGAAGCAGGAGGATTGTTGTGAGTTCAAGACCAGCCTAGGCTACAAGGCCAGCCTGAATTTCATAGTAAGACCCTGTCTCAAAAAAAAAATTCCAAATTTCTAGAAATTCCATCTCTTGAATTTCTTTTCCATCTGTATGACACTAAATATAAAATTATACCCCACAAATTTATTTAGCAACTCTTTCAAAATACTTGCACTGCGTTATGGTAAACAATTAAGAAAAACATCAATGAACTTCCATGCAAAACAACATATTATGCTTTAGTTTTACAGAAGTTGATTTATTCAAGACAGCTATCCCCCAACTATGTCAGACACCCAGCCTCATTTACTTCCCACTACACATATGCTTTCTCTCCACTACTTTTTCTAAGTTGCTGTAGGGTTTTACAGAGTCATTCTTTGGAGTTGAAATTTTCCATGCTTGGTCCTCTACCAAAGGTGATTTCATTTGGAAAAGATTGAAAAATGCATAGTGCAAAGTGTTCAGTCATTTTTGCAGTCATATAAGGATAAAGAAAAACACTATTTGAAAACCAATTTAAATTGCTTTTCTTCTATTGAACAGGAACTCTAAGTGGCTAGTTTGAGGAGGTTTAATAGTGCATCTCCCCAGTGCCCCAAACAACAGGTTTTTCTTGACAAATCGCCTGTTGTTGATCTCAGTGCTCTGATTTTTTTATTCCTCTTTTGCAGTCTTCATAAAAGAGAGTCTGGACTGGCAGGCAGTGTTAGAAGCTGAGTCGGGTTTAAGCGCTCAGGTGCCCTGATTGTCTCACACATACATACCACTCAAGTGCTGGTGTGTGTTCAGAGGGAGACAGCAACAACCCCACCGGCCGGGAGCATCATGGGAGATGCGCATGAGAAATCTCAGAGGAAATGGTGAGGCCCTGTGACCACTGGCTGTACCGAAGAGCCTGCCGGTTAGTGGCACTTATCTCACATTGTGCAAATCAACAAAGACAAACCAGCAAAGTGAACTCCTTAGGAATACAGTACAATGAGCGTTAGATCAGAGGTTGCACCTCCCACGTACACCTTGCATACTCAGAACTGAACCCATGCCTTCTATTGAAGGCATGATCAAAAAATACAGTGAATATTAAACCAATGTTTTAAACAGTTGCAGTAAAAGACATCACCATCAATTTCCCTTAAAAATACTCCTTCTCCATGTAAAAAAATACTTAGTCCATCATTCTGAAGCAGCTCTGGAGGTTCCTTTTGGTGAGTGTTTTTAGTTGTGTTGCCTTGGCTCCGTTGATGCCCTGAAAATAGTCAAGATGTTTACTTTTTGGGGTCATTCTGACTTTTAGGAGGAGCCAGAAGTGTCACTGTGCCTGATCCAGTGAATAAGGTGGATGAGGACACACTATAATGCTTTTATTTGACAGAAATTTCTGTATTTGTTTAAATCACGTTTTGTATATTTCCCAGACCTTTTTTATTCGTATTTTCTGACAGAGTTTTGCTAAGTTACCCAGGCTGGCCTCAAACTTGTGTTCTTCCTTTCTCAGCCTTCCAAGTATCTGGAATTACAGGCATGCACCACCACGCTCAGTTTTAGAGGTTCCTCTCAAGAAATGATTCTCCAACTGTTGCTGACTGTGATGGGATGTCAGTCCGAGGGCTGTCATGTGTGGTCATACAAATTGTGCACTGAGCAGTTCCTCCTGATCTCATTTGCCCGTTGCAGTAGCCAGCTTTACTGTTGCTGGACAAAATATTGGACACCTGCAACTTAAGGGATGTATTTGGTTCACTGTGCTGGCTCCAGATATCATGGTGGAGGGTGTGGCAGAGCAAGATGGCTTGGTGGATGGCAGTTGGGTAGCAGAACAGGGGAACAGCACCAAGATGAAGGAGAGAAGCCGGATGCAGGCCCCAAGGTCATACCTCCATGGGTTTCCAGGCACCCCTAGAAGTATGTTTTACTAATCTCCTTGGTGGCCTCCAAGCTAATCAAAGTGACAATTAAATCTGTCACACTAGTGGAAAAGAGAAGTAATTAAGAATTGTAGAAAAAAATACAGTTTCAACCTGTGCCTACTCAGGAGTTCACTTTCTAAAATGATGCTTTAGGCACTTAAAAATAACCCGATATCTTCTTACGCAAAACTTCAGATTTTGTTGTAAATTATTCCAAAAATACAAGTTCGGGAGAAGCACATCTTTTAAAGGGTTACTCAGCCAGTAAATTCTGGAGGAGAAATAATAGATGTCTGCTTTAGCAATAAGAAAATCTGATTATCATAAACAATAGGCCAAAACTACTACAGATGAAAATATGTATCACTGTCTAGGGCTAACCAACCAACTCACGAAAACAGATAAATAAAACTGAGAAAAGTATAAAGTTCTTTAGTTGACACCATAACCAACTCAAGACAATAATAATACTTAAACATTTGTATGACTCATACTAAGCACTGAATACTAGTCTCACCATTTTCTGCGTATCAACTCATTTAAGCTTTACAAAGTTTTATGAGGTATAATTTTTTATTTTGCAGATGAAGAGAGAGACAGAAAAGAGATAAAACCATGTCCTCCTTTGGCTCTAACAAATGACTACTCTGGATTCATGCACTTTGTTACAGTTGTATTCTTACCCCTTCTGAGTACCAGGCTGGTCTTGTGACTGCTTTGATCAGTAGAGCAGAAAAGGAAGTGAGAATGAGGCTGAGCTAGTCCACCGGAAGACAAAGGCAGGGAAGGAGCACCGGGGCAGCCGAGCCCACTCTGCAGCGTGCGCCTTGCTCTACACCACTCCCGGGCCGCAGATGAAGCAGAGGGAACAGAACGCTTCTGATGCAGGCGAAGTGGGAGAGTGGGAGGGACCCAGCAATTGCCAGGATGAGAGCTATAACTCAGAGAAGAACACCAAATGTGAATCTTCAGAACACGCTAGTAGCACACTGGAATGCTGGGTCAGTTAACAGTAACTAACCCTGATTCATACAAAAAATGCTTGGGATTTTGCAGTAGTTGCTTATGACAATTGAGGATGTGACCTGTTTTCAGTGATGCTGAAGCCCAACAAAGATCAGGGTGGTGACCAGAGTAAGACTTGTTTTGCTTGTTGCTGTAAAGGAGTGCACACACAGACATCTATCCTGATAGATATCCTGATAGATATCCTGAAGAGAGGCTTTAAGTTTGGGACTCTTGCTGAATGATTCTTAGGAAAACTGGAGGAAACTGGGAGTCATTTTTGAGCTGGATAGGTCAGAAAGTGCAGGCCAATTCTGAGACCTTGTCTGTCACCAGTGTAAGAAACTTTGAGTATCTTAGTAATTTTATCTGGTAGGGGGAGAATTGAAGCAGAGCTAGAGAATTGTCATTGGGAAGGGAAGAGCAAGATGGGTATGGTGGCACATGTCTACAATCCTAGTACTCTGAGAGACCGAGGCAGCAGGATTGCAAGTTCAAGCCCAGCCTGGACAACTTAGCATCTGAGTGAATCTCTGTCTCAAAATAGAAAAATAAAAAAGTGCTGAGAATGTAGCTCAGTGTGAAAGCCCTGGGTTCAACCCCCAGTACCATGATAGAGAGAAAGAAAAAAAGATTAATACATTTTTGTGGTTGAAATAGGGCCTTGTCTCTGCCATGTTTTAGTCGTGATCTCAGAGTAGCCATGTCCAATTATTGTTCATATTCTGCAAAAGTTGTTGGGAATGCTTTGCTTCAAGTCTCACTGCTAACGGACAGCTACTAGAGCCATTTTTTACTTTCTCAGAATCACTTTGGAACTCCCTGGGAGGAACCAATAAACCAGGAAATTCCCTGAAAGCAGTGCATTGTGGGGAATGTGGGTTTTATGTAGATATTGTCTACATGTCCAAAGAACCAACTGGTGGAGGAAGGAGGATGACAACTTTGGGAGAGAAAAGCTTGTGGAGGAGAGGCTCCTGGAAATGGGGCTCTTGGCCTGGAGCCCACACATCAGCACTATCCCTGGCTGGGGAGGGTGGCAGGAAACACTTTCTTCCTATGGGCACAGGTAGTGTCAAGCCAGCCAGGGAAGGGGAAAATATGATCTGTGGGGAGAAGTAGAGCAAAACTATAAAAAACAATGTGTCTAGAAGATGCAGAAGGCAAGCCAGGATCTGGAGAATGGTCACAGGCAAGATCCTGAAAACTACTTCCAGAAATCTGTGGCATTCTTGACAGTGTAAATAAGGATACTGCTTGGGGAAAAGGGGGTTGCTAGAAATTGTAGGCAATTATTCAAAGACACGTGGATGATAAATGTGAGAATGAACGAGATTGGAAGGACTTAAGAAATCCTGGGCTGGGGATTTAGCTCAGCGGCATAAGCGCCTGCCTTGCAAGTGTGCGTTTGTGAGTTCAATCACCGGTACCAATAAAAAAGAAAAAGCAAAGAAATCCTTCTACAGATGCTGAACCTAAGAATCACACTTGAAGGTAGTGAAGAACTGATTTGATGATGTAGAAATGTAAGTGACATCTCATGCAGATCTGAGAAAGCAGGAAAAAAGCAAGGTGGTGAAAGAGAGGAAGGAGCATCTGAGAAACAGAGTGGAGAAGAGAAAGCCCAAATCCCAAGACCCTCAAGGAAAAGCCCCAGCACAGGGAGCTAAAGCCAGGCTTCACATTTCCTCAGTTGTACTTTTTCCCCATTTTGAGCTTTCTAAAGCAAGATGCATCTTATGTCTTAAAATTTGTCTCTTATCCCCCGCCAAAAATGTAGTCAGTGATATGCTTTTTAAATTGATGCCATGTTAAAATCAAGGAAATATGTTAAGGGGAGAAATTCCTTAGCTGAAGCAATAGCCAAGTTATGGGATTTTAAAAGGCTCACTCGGGTTCCAAGGCATAATAATGGAGAGTAGCCCAAAATGAAGATTTCTTGGCGAAAACGTTTAACTTGTGGAGTAAAAACCCTACAAGTATCCAGGACTAAATATCAAGTTACACTAAAAAGATCAAATGCCAGGATGCCTCATGTCTGTTCTCCAACACCAAGGGTTAGAAGTTCACAGAGGCTGAAAGTGGTGGCCCAGGAATATTTTTACTCAGCAAACTTGTTCTTTTTTGATACCTAAAAAAGCTATTACTTGGACATACAAGGTATACGAATCAGGGGTATCCACCAAAAGAAAATCAATAGGAAAGGGAGAGAGAAGAGGAAAGGAAGAGAGAAAGAGAAAAAAAAGCAAGAGAGACAGAGAGATATACACAGACAAAGATTTATTTTAAGGAATTGTTCAGCAGTTGCAGAGGCTGGCAAATCTGAGATCTGCAGCGCACTGGAAACTTAGACAGGATTTTTGTTAGCCATTTCAAGCACAATTTCTTCTCCTTCATGAAACCTAGTTTTACTCCTATGGCCTTCAACAGATCAGCTGAGGCCCACCTCCCATTCAGAAGGACAATCTATTGTATTTAAAATCTTTGTAAATATTAGTCACATGCACAGAATATCTACAACATCTAGACTAGTTATTGGCCAGGCAGTTGGGCACCAGGTTTATGAGCCAAACCAAATTGACTCATAAAATTAGCCATCACATAAGGAGTCACAAAATATATCAGCCTTCTTTACAATAAATTTCTTGGAGATATTTTTGAAATGTAAGTTTAAAACTGAGAGAACTGTGCTTCAAAGAAGATTTCCGGTGACACAGAAAACAGCTAAAGAGATGTACATCTGTTTTTTAAATTGAACGGAAAAGCCAAAAATATTCTTGAATTATAAGCACTCTGACGTTAAAAATAATGCAAGTTAGATTTTAAGAAACCCCATATCATATTAATAAAAAAATAGAACAAAAAGACAATCAAGGTTTCGTCTCAGGTGGAGGAATTAAAAGGTACTAACTTATGTGCTCTGAGAGTAATTGGGAAAACATAATTTCAGTAATGATATCAAAATACTAAATTAACAAATTTTAATGTATTACTTTCCAAAACAATGAAAGAAATAGAATTTCACTCAAGTAGCTGGTGACTACTTGGCAAGGGAACTCTCCTTTGTGCCTGAGGAGCCTACATTAGGAAATCATACCCGGTAACACCTGACTGTTGGTCCTCAGGCCCAGGTACACCCTAGCATCACCTGGAGAGCTGCACACATTCTGATTCCCGGCACTGCCCCAGACCACTGCATCAGAATCTCCCGGGACATGGTCCAGCCACCAGAAATTACGTAGAGCCTTCAGTGACTCCAAATTTGTACAGCTAAATTTGAAAATCCTTGGTCTGTGTTTTCACTTTTCTTTATGCATCTCTGGGAAGGGTACTCAAACAGTTACTTCTCTCTCTCTCTCTCTCTTTCCTCTGAGTCACCTTTCCATTTATCCATAGTCATCATGGTGATAATCTACAATATCTTAGGTGAGCAGGCTCAGCATCTCTTGGGAACTTAGCGGGCAGGGATGCCCCATGGCTCTGCTTCCTTAAGTGTCCTTCTTGTTCCTCATCTTACTTCTTCAAATGTCTAATGGAATCCTCTTTACAAAACACAGATCTGACCATGCACAAATCCTCTCAAAAGCAAACAGAAACTCCGTAGTCCTTTCTAGTATTTTAAGATCCTAAAAATGGAACTCAGGGCTCTCTAAGCATTTGACATTTTTACTTTACCCCACAATTTCTTCTCGCCTTCATTTTGCATCCTTTGAGCTCTGGCTATCTCAGGCTGTTAGCGCTCCACCAAACGGGACAAGGACATTTCCCACTTCAGTTCTTAGACTAATGCTTTCTTCATCCATGATGCCTCTTTCCCCACTTTGCTATTAGTGCTTTGACTTTCTTCAAGGTCCAGCTCAGACACAGTTAGTCAGCTTTCCAATGCTGTAACAAAATACCTGACATAATCAATTTAAAAGGAGGAGAGATTTATTTTGGCTCACATTTAGAGCTTTTAGTCTCAAGTCACTTGGCTGTCGTGAAAGGAGTGTAAGACAGAGGAGGTCTATTCACTTGATGGTGGCCAAGAAGGAGAGAGAGAAACACACAGAGAAGGAAAGGTCTCAATATTCCCTTCAAGGGACCAGTGACCCAACTTCCTGGTCCTAGTCCCCAGCTCCCAAAGCTTACAGCACTTCCCAATATTGCCACTGGCCGGCAACCAGGTCTTTATCATAGATGGGCCTTTGGGGACCATCGAAGGTTTAGAAAACCTTCCTTGATGGCCCAGTTAAAAGGGACTTCTTGTTCTTGCATGGAGCCCTGATTTCATTTAATTTTATGTTGTTAAAATATCTGTCTTTCCTCCTGAATTGTGAATTCTTTGAGAAGAGAAACCATGCCCTTTAGCCCCTGGATCCACCAGTGAGTGCCTGTGGAACGAATGCCATAGGTCACATTCCAAATGCCTGTCAGCAAGGTCAGGCCCCCCTACATTCCACGGGCACTCCAGAGGGCAGCCCAGCCCACACTTCATTTCAACATGAGTGAGTATTTATTACTAAGGGTCTCTGACCTTGGCCTACTGAGCAACTCCTTGATATTCTGGAATTTCCATGCTCTCGCATTCTCCTCATCCTTCATTTCTCACTGGTAGAGTGTTCGCCCTGTCCTGACACCTTCTTCACGTCCCTCCCTTGCTACTTTCTTTTTGGGTGTCTGGCTTGTCCAAGCTGGATTCGAAGAATGTATCTGCTCCCTTCGGATGAGGACTCAATTTGTTTTAATTCTGGGGGTAGTATTGAAAACTCAATCTGAGAGTCTAAACAATCACCCTTGATTATTTGCTTGAGAAAAAGGCACAGAATTTCAGTGCTGATGGAGGAGAATACTCATGCCTTTGGGCAGACCTTTAAGAATAAACCTGTCTTAATTGGACAAAGGATAATTAAGGAAGTTAGCAGCACAGCGAGCCTATGGATTTTGGAATCATCCTAATCGTACAATCACAGATTCCCACAAGAGCCGCTGCAGCCTGGAGCTCTGACAGCCAGTCCACAGCCTGAGCCATCTAATGGCGACTGCAGGTGCCCATGCCTGAAGACAACAGCAGTGACTCTGGAGATGCAAAGCCCTAGATGAAAGCAAGCTTCTGAGGAGAGTACATTTTCCCAGATGCTTTTGACTTTCTGCATAACCTGACCCAAATATTCTACTCTCATATCATGCTTTCTCCCTCTTATAGACATATTATTTTTTAGAGAAAAAAGCAAAACAGAAAAAAGGATAGAAATAATACAGAATTTCAAAAAACAGTAAGAAATCAGTAGTTGATAAATTACATGTTGTTATCTTAGAAATAGTTGCTCAAGTCACAAAATCAAAGCATAAAAAGTGGACAGTCAAACAAGGACAGCACAAACCAGTCTGTTTGATGAGTTAACAAAAACTTAGTAGTATGGTTATCTATTTTACACACTTTAACCTACATACAGTTATATCCTTTAGAGCACTTTCCCTTTCATTATCAGAATATCTATTATACATTTTGAATCATATTACTCTTTCAGTTTTTTGTTATTATTTTTTACACTAGACAGACAATACAATATTTAGAAATGTGAGTCTGATTTATTTCACTTATGAGGATAGTCTCAAGTTGCCTCCATTTACCTATAAAAGCCTCAAGACCATCCTTTTTATAGCTGAGTAATATTCCATTGTATGAAAATATCACATTGTTTTCATCTATTCTGTGGTTGATGGGCATTTTGGTTGTTTCCAAGATTTAGCTATTACAAATTGCGCTGCTATGAACATGGGTGCACATATATCACTGTGATACGACCTTTTCAGATTTTCTGGGAAAACACCCAGGAAGGGAATAGCTAGATTGAATGGAACTTCCAATCCTAGTTTTTTGAAATCTCCATATTGATTTTCATAGTGGCTGCACCAGGCCACACTCCCATCAACAGTGGAGAAGTGTTCCTTTTTCCCCACAGCCTTGTCAACATTTGTTATCAGTTGATTTCTTGACGGCAGCCATTCTTTCTGGAGTGAGATGAAATCTCAATGCTGTTTTAATTTGCATTTCTCAAATGACCAGTGGTGGTGAACATTTCTTCTTGTATTTATTTGCCATTTATGTATCTTCATCTGAGAAGTGTGTGTTCATCTCAGATGCCCATTTTTGGAGAGGGTTTTTGAATTTGGAGGGGGCTTGATGTTTTTCAATTCTTTGAATATTCTTTGTCTGAGGGACTGCTGACTAAAATTCTTTCCCATTCTGTGAGTTTTTGTTTCATTTTGTCGGTGATCTCAAGTGCAAAAACTTTTTAATAATATGAGATCCCAGTTGTTGATTCTTTGAAGTACTTCCCATGTGGATTGTGTTTTGTTCATGAATTCTTTGCCTACCCCTATGTCTCCAAGATTTTTACCTACCTTGGTAGATATATTATTTACCATTGCAATAAAGTTCTGTTATTTTATATGCCAACCCCCTTCCCTATATAAATTCTCAAACACTAGAAGCCAGATTCTAGTGGACTCTTGATCAAGTTCCTACTGTGTGCTCCAAACCAAGAGAATAAACCAAGGGAGAAGAAACAGATAATCTAACTTAGAAGAAAGGCAAAGTGAACTAGAAAAGGAATATAAAGAGAAGTGTGAGGGTATAGTGCTTATTAAGCCACCAATTTAGAGAAAAGAAGGGAGATACCCAGAGAGCATGACTCTAAGAACTAGGAAGAGGTTATAGATAAATGAATATTTTTGACCTTGTAGAAGATCACTGTGAGAGATTTTGGAAGTTATAGAGTGATCAAAAAGTTTTTAAAAATCTAGGCAAGTCAAAAGCAAGGAAATTATTAACTCTAGGAAAAACAAAAGGTAAGAAGAGAAATATTATTGTAGTATGCTACAACATGCGTCCGTAAACATTTTTTATAACAATGTAAACACCGAACTATATTCAACCTGCAGTAATAATACTAAGAGAATGAGAGACAGTAGAGTGGACACTTTTTAAGTTTTTATAATGTAAACTTAATGAGCATTTCTTTTAAGTTGAGAGTATGTTTCTGCATTTTAATTCTAATTTCTTACTCTGGCTTGTCTTCATTTCTTTTTGTCAGTTTTTTTCTGATTTGTTGTACTTTTCTGATTTCCAGTATTCTTTCCATATCAAGAAGGTTAAGGAATTGTCTACAAGTTGCAATTCTGTGGGCATTCAAAAAATTTATCTGTTGATTTTATATGGTGTTTTAGCCATATGGTAGTTTTGTATTTTTAACTCAACATAATTTATTTATGTTTTATTTTACAATCCTGAAATTTTCATTATTGTCATAAAATGTTCTTTAAGATTACAAAATAGCACCATTCCTTAATTCTTTTAGGGTCTCAGTTATTTTTTGCAGTTGCACTTTTAAAAATGTATGGTATGAAATATAAATACAGCTTTACTTTTCTCCAAGTGGTTGTTCAACACTTTCAGAGAAAAATATTTACATTTCTGAAATACCACCACTATCATTCACTAAGTTCCCATGTGTGTCCACATTTATCTCAGGTCTAACAGTCTCATTCTGTTAGTCCATGTGTCCATCAATGATCCAGAAACACACTATTCTAGTTCCTAAAGTTTCCATATATATATTTGCAGGACTGGAGATTGAAGTCAGGTGCTTCACACTAAATTAGCCAATTTATTTTTATTGTGTAGCAGAATCTTGCCAAGTCACTAAAGTGCCTTGGCTAGGTCAAACTTGCAATCTTCCTGCTTCAGCCTTCCAGAGTACTGGAATTACAATCCTGTGCCACTAGGTCTGGCTTTTACCATACTTTCAATTCTTGGTAGGGCCAGATATTTTCAAAAATTTCTTGGCTTCTTTTGCTTGTTCATATTCTGAAGTTCAATTGGAACTTCAGAATCAATTTGTCTAATTCTAGGAAAAGAAAATCCTGCTTGCTGTTAGTAATTTCTATAGGAATTAAACTAATTTTGTAAATTAATTTAAGGGAAATAACTGAATGTCCTTATGCAAAGACACAATATGTTATTTGAAAAAGATTACAATTATCTAAAAGGTGTAATACTTTGAAGATCTATGTACTTAAGTACCAAATGATTGTTCGTTTTTTTTTTTTTTTTTTTTTTTTTGTCTTTCTGAAATAGGATCTCACTACACACTTCAGGCCAGCCCTGGGCTCATTTTGTAGCCCAGGCTGGTCTCAAAACCCGTAACAGTCCTCCTGCTGTAGCCATCTGAGTACTGGGATTACAAGAGTGCACCACAGCGCCCAGCTTCAATACAGTTTTGATATGGAAAAATACACAGCATGTAAATGTAGACAAACAGAAGCACATTAACAAGAGCTATTAAATCAGCATCCATGGTCCAACACAAATCAAGTAGACAAAATTAACTAAGAATATGAAGACATAAAATAACCAGTAAAGTAGATGCAAATGGAACTCTGTATCCTAACACCACCAAGCACATATTCACATCAGCATGGCTCATTTTTGGTACTGACCCCGTATTAGCCACCAGAATAGCTCAATACCAAGAAGTAGAAATAATACATACAATATTTTCCAATAACATTACAATAAAATTAGAAATTAGTAACATCAGAAAATTTTGGAGTAAAAAAAATCCAAAATTTTATCACAAATCCTTGTTACTTAAATTGTAGTCTGTAGGTAGCAGCACTGGCACTCTTACGAGCGTGTTAGAAACACAGAAAATTAAGTGGTCCACATCTACTGAGTGGGCCCTGCAATCTGCAACACCCAGAGGACACGCAAGCGCATGTTTACCCGCTGCTTCTAGAAAACGGCAATTAAAATGCACCTCAGAACTAAGGAATACATGCAGACTGGAACCCAGAAAGGAAATCAACTTTAAAAGTTTGTGTCAATAAAATTAAAGCAAATAAAATCAATTCATTAGCTACACAACTCAAAACATTAGAGGAAATACACAAAATCAACTGCAAGAAGTTATAAGAATGGGAAATTAACAAGTTAAAGTACCTCTTTAGAAATGAGAAAAGTAAACTAATAAAAAAAATTAAGCAAGCAAAAAAGGAGAAAGCACAAGCACAAAAGAGGCCAACACCAGTAACACCATAAATTTATTTTCCAAATGAGACTCTTTGCAGTTCTGTGCTATTAAATTTTAAATATGCGACTGTAAATGAAATTTTAAAATTTAGTTGAAGTAATTTTCTTGGAAGCTATAATTCATTAAAATAAATCCCAGAAGAAGCATAAAAATTATACAGATCAAAGTTATATGGACTAATTAATAAGGACTATTCTTGAAGGGTAAGCCTCTCACCACCCATAGGATATACACTGGCCCAAATGTTTTCCCATAAGAATTCCACCATATTTCTAAAGAGTAAATCAAGACTCATAAAAAGAGGAAAAAGCTCCAAATTAGTTTTTATAAATTGAGGATAACATTGACACCAACACCTGACAAAAATAGCACAGAAAAGAAAAATTCCATATTAATCTCACCTTCAAATATACATATTGATATTTCAAATATAAGCACAGCAATTAGAATCAAGTAGTTAATTAAAGGACTAGTAAGACCAAGAGCAATTATTCCATAAATATCAGGATGGTTTAGTGTTAGGAATAACAGTTCCATAATTCAAAATAATACTAATAATAGATTCTGAAAATAAATGCCCAACAAACTGATGATGAAAAGACAGGTGGCTTATCCTTGAAAGACTTTTTTTCCTTAGAAGACTTTTAAGGAAAGATATTAACTAATCCTAAATTAAGAACAGGATAAAGTGCCTATTATTACATTTTCCACTTAATGTTGTTCTGGAGATGTGAGCCACTGTTGTTGGACTGAAGAAAGATGATTCAGGTAAAAACACTGGAAAAAAGAATGCTAAATTGTTTCTCTTTGTGGATGATATAGAATTAACTGAAAACCTTTACAAACAAAAACAGAAAAAATGGGCTATAAAAATTAACATGTAGAAATCCATAACTTTCATATGTAGTAATTGCAATGAGCTAGAGATATAACAGTTTTGTTAACAGTAACAACAAAATATTAAATACTTAAGTGTAAACTTAATGAATATGTAGCTTACTCTAGGAAAAGTTTAAAATGACCCTGAAATACACTAAAGTGGATGTGGAGTCTCTGTTGTAGAAATCTTTGTCTTGGTTTCAGCAATTGACTACTAAATGCCTATGATTACTGATCTGTGATTTACGAATGGTTGTGTGACCCAAAGCTGGCCACCAAGAAAGTCACTATCAGCTCATCTGAGAAAGTTTCTCCCTCTTGAAAGGATCTCCAAGGAAGCTACCTTCTCTTCCTTCCCCAGATCTTGGTGTATCTGGGAAATGATATCCGAAGCTGCTGTAGTTATTTGGAAGCTCAGAAGGTCGAGTGGAGATCAGGACTAGCTCCTTGGTAACAGCCTTGATGTCCTTTTTATGCCATATTTGGGGCCACAGCTCGTGGACTCCCTGGCAATTAAGTAACGAGTTTCCTTGAGTTTCAGTCCACTTAAAACAGGTGTCTCTGTCATCCTCTAGCTAGCACAGTGTACCTGTTACTGCCCCAGAACCATTTTGAATTATTGTCGCTTTACAATGTTTTGATATAGAATGCTGTTGTCTGGGGTGAGGAGATAATTCCTTAACTTCTATAATTTCTTCCTTAAGTGACTTAAGCAGATGATTCCCAATGAGTCAATTTTAGACATCTAAATTTCTTAAACAATTTTCATTTCAATGACTTTCAAATTTCCTGAAGAACAAATATACATTTTATCAGAACATACATATTTAAACTTCTATGTATGCTTTACCCATGTTTCTTCATTTTTACTATAGGAATTTTAAATTGGATTTCCAGCAGCTGAACTATTTTGATTTTTTACAAAGAAATCTTCCTGAGATTTATTTCTATTAATTTTTATGCTGTGGATTCATTTACTTTTTGCTTGTTAAAATTTTATTTCTTTCTCTTTTCTTGAATACTTTTTCTTTTCTCCACTTTTAGGTAAAATAATATCTTTTATTGTTTTTACTTTAAAAAATAAATTTCATACTTAGGTTGAGAGCAACTTTATGCATATCCCCTAATTTAAATCATTAAGCATCCTGCTTCTCATTACTTTAAAATTAGCTGTTCTCATACCCTTGGTTGTCTCCTTAATACATTAATTATTCAAAAGTGTAGAGCTAAAGCTTTAAAAATATTTTATTATTTTTTGAAATCTTTTATTATTGTTTAATGTTATACTTTATTTGAAGATATGGATTGTATTACTCACCTTTCTGACTTAGATTTTTTTGTTGTTTTCCTCACAGTTATTTTGGATGGAGATTTTTTAAAAATCCTGTTATCATTTAAGAAGGAGGTATATTTTGCAATGCAAATACAATATGTTTTATGAACAAATGATAATTTTATAAAATAAGTTTTGAAACCATCATTAATTCCACTTTGTTAATCATATGATTCCAATCTTTTATGTCATTATTTTAGGATTTTTATGATGACCAATATTCAAATTTAAGAAATTTGTGTTGGGAAATTCTAGGACGTAGAACCCATAATGAAGCACTGTAGTAATGAGGCGTATGCTAGTGGACTTGGATTTGCTGCAGGGCATGGCTACCAGTGGAAGGGGCTGTTTGTGATGGTAGAGGAGCACAAAGTCATGACTGATCCTTGTTGGACCATCTTGCTGGAAGCACAGAAGAGCTGCTCAACTTTCCTCAAAAATGCTGGGTGGAAATGGGCACAGCAATGGCAGTAAAGCTAGGGGAGAAGCAGAGCAGGTAAGTTGCCTTTGAGGTCATCTTGGATGGATCCTCAGTTGATGCTGTACATTGTAGGAGAGAGCATGAGAATTGCTTTGCATCTCTGCAGATATAAAAATATTTTAGCTTGAGCTCTTCAAACTCGTGTTTTTCCTCAAGGTTCCAAAATGGGATATTGCTTTTGGATATTTTGTTTTTGTTTTGGGTCGTGTGATGTCCTCCAGTACTTTGGGACTCTGCTACCAAAAAGGCCACCACTGACTGTGACTCTTTGACCTTGTACCTCTAAGATCATCAGCCAACATAAAACTTTTCTTTATAACTCATTTGGTCTCTGGCATCAGCAACAGAAAACGGACTATCTCCAGGCATGTGGTCTACATCTACAGCCAGAGTTCCTATCAGGACCACACTCCATCCCCCATGGGGAACAGGGCTCCCTTCCCACCCTGTCCCACCACCCCAGTCCCTGCTGCTGCTCTCTGCATCTTCCAAATTCACTGCTTGCTCTTGAAAATTTGTCTAAAGTCTTCTTCTGGGAAAAGCCATATTAAGACAAATAGTAATTTTTATTATTTGTTTTAGCCTCATCAATCTTTGTAAACAAGCATTGCTGCAAGTGGAAGGTGAGAAATGTCCAAGCTAAGAAGCTATGCATGGCTGGCTTCAGAGCAGCTGAAGATATCACACAAATCGTTTATCACACTGTGCTTGATCTGACTGCAGAAATGTGATTCAGCCAATCCTTGGAGTGTGGAGGGGCTATTGTTCTGTTCCAGCCCTGACTTCACAGTCTGCTGGCTGTTCTGAGATCACTGAGTACACATAATATTAAATGACAACTCCTCCTGCAGGTGAAGCTTGGAGGTCTTCCTCCTGGGCCAACTGATAGAAGACAGGCCTAGGTCAACTAGGGGCAGAATCCAGCCATGGGCATAAAGGTAAGTTTGTTCCAAGTACAGCCCTTGTTCTATTCAGGGAGGCAGGAACTAGATTATAAATCATATACTGACTATAACAATAACACCACCAACAATAACAATAATGACCAGAAGTGGTACAACAGTTCTTTGATCCTCCAGAAACCCTTATCAGAGGGTCTCTTCTTCACCATGTGCTCCTGTTCTGAAATCCCACACTGCTCTCTCTCATCCCATAGTCACTGACACATTTAGTTGTGATGAATACTTTGTTTATCTACCTCCCAAGTAGAGAGTGTATTGATTAATGATTCATTCATTGAAAGCAATAATTTTATCTTTCAGTGCTGTATCCTTGGCAAAGAGCATGATAAACACACAAATAAATAAAAACTGTCACCTTTATAAGCAATAAGAAGAGACCCCATAGACAAGAAAGGGTGAATATTTGGGTAACAATACAGAAACAGTTCTTAAAGTCTCACGATTAAAAACAAAATCAAAAGATGATGGATTGATAGATAACAGGATAGAGAGCCTCTCTGAGAAAAACAACTCAGATGCTAGAATTTAGCACCATGGAGAAGACCAGATGAAAGGAGAGGGATTCTTACAACCCAGGAAGAATCTGAGGAAAAAGAAAAAAAAAAGAGAAAGGAAGGAAGGAAAAACATGGATGAAAGTCGGAACCAGACACACTCTCACTGGAGCCAATCCCGCACTGTGCTGGGTGTGTCTTGGAGGCAGTGCTGAAATTGGGGTTGGTGAGCCCAAGACCCTTGGTGGGAGGATGTGGCACAATGGAGAGTGGAACCAATCTGGAAAGCTGCACTAGCCCATGATGAGTGCTAGGAATTTGGTCCCGTGGAGGGGGTGACCAGCTGGACAACATACTGGAGTTGGGCAAGGATGGGCCTGAACCTGCAACCACAGTGGCATCAGTCAGCCACTCCTGGCCCAAAGAGGACTGGAGGGATTGATTGGGCTGGGTCATGCCCCTGGTCAGGACCCAATAGCCAGAGATGAAACTGTCCCTGTGATGTCTGCACCTCACAGACTAATGTGGTGAAGGCACTGGCTGTTTGACTGGCTTAGAGGAGAGGGGCCAGCCCACATCACCCCTGTGTGCACCTCACAGATGAACGTAAACTGGAGAGGGCTGCAATCCTCTAACCAGGATGCTTCAGAAAAACCATAAGCAATACAGAAAGGGCCAGAGACCTCCACCTTACACCTGTCTGAAAGAAACCATAAACATGACAAGAGAAAGAAACAAGAAAAAACCTCCAGCTGCTGACCCAGGGAAAGTAAGTCCAGGAGAGATAAATACAGAAGAAATCGTAGGGTAGCAAGCATGCAATATTGGACACAGCATCAGGGACATAAAGAAATACCTTTATGACCTCATAGACAAGCTTAAAACTGAAATTGTAATTCAAGTGAAGCAAGATATAAAAAGATTAATAAAAGAAAATGCTAAGCACCTCTCAAGAAGATATAGATGGAAGAATGGAGGAACCCAGAAAAAGGAGAGAAACCTTTGATGAAGAATATAAACAAAATCTAGAATACATGAAACAGATCCAAAGAGATTACCAGGAAATTTAAAACTCCATTGAAAGCTGGCAAAATGCCTTGACAGAAACTAAAGTTAGCCTTTCGAAACTTGAAGATAGATTTGTAATGTGTGATCATGAAAGAAAAGACCTCTTAAAAATAATAAGGAACCAGGAAGTAATAATTCAAAGGCTAGAAGACAACAAGAGGATCTATAACTTAAGAATAAAAAACATGAGCAAAGGAGCATGAGTAACCACAATGAATTACAAAAGCTATTCACAGAAATAATTAGGGAAAACTTCCCAAGTATAGGAAAAAGCAATGATACCCAGATAAATGAGGCATACAGAACTCCAACCAACTACAACCAAAACAGATCTACACCCAGGCATATAATAATAATGATCCCAGAAATTCACCACAAGAACAAAATGTTAAAAGCAGTCAGAGAAAGGAGCAGATCACCTATAAAGGAAAATCCATCAAAATAATGACAGACTTATCAACACAAACTATCAAATGCATGTAGAGATTCACACACGTGTAGAACTTCTAAATAATTTACAAGAATAGATTATATAATGCACGATGTAATGAACAGATACTCTGAAGAAAAAGAGACACTAAGATATCCAGTGCTAATTCTGTAGCACCATGATACAAAATCTAGCAATACTATTATTCTCTGTCCAGAGTGATTTTAGTCTGTTTTTTTTTTGTTTAATTTCAACATACATAAAAATATGGACAGCTATTTTGAAGAGAATGAGAGACATTATGGCAGCCATTGTTGACTTCCCTATTGTCTGGTCTTGAAGACCTAAAATGCCTTCATCATCCTGTTCTGATCAGTTTAGTACTATTTTGTTCAGTATGAATTCACTGTGTGTGAAGATATGGGCAATTACTTGGAAGAAAACAAGAGACAATATGATAGACAGTGAAGATCTGGTGGTCTTGCTTTGAAATCTGTGTTTCTTAACTTGTTTTCTTATTTCTGTTTTGTTATGTTTAATTTTACCCTCTTAAAATAAAAAAATTATAAAAAAATCAATTATCAATAAAAGTTAAAATTTTATGAATGTGACTTTTTTTATTCAGAGAAATTGCCATTCATGTGGAAAGACAAGGCCAATTTTAAAAGTTAAGAGACTTGAAAATATGCTTGTCAGAAAACCTTTGAAAAGTATTTAAATTGTATGCAAAATAACAGAACTGTGAGGTAAAATATAAGATGGTATCATATACAGATTTATAATAAAAATAAAAGCAGACATGTTTAAATGTTGTTGTAAACCTAGCATATAAAATTTTAAATTATCTAGATAGTGGTAAAATACTAATGTTTGTTAGATGTAAATCAGGAATAAGTGCTCTGATTTTAAAGATGGATCCAATTAACAAGCCAATAAAGGAGAAAATGAAATAATAAAAATACTTGTTTAGTCAAAATTAAGGTAAGAAAAGTAAAAATAAGAACAAACTGAAGTAGGCTAATTAAAAAATTAATTGCAGGATTGAATATTTAAGCCTAAATATATCATTACACATTAATATGTAGATTTGGCATCCAGTTAAAAGATAAAGATGAAATTAGATAAAAATGTGTTTATTGCTTATGAGAAACATATTTAAGTATAAAGATACAAAAAGATTAAAAGGAAGGGGGCTGGGGATTTAGCTCAGCGGCATAAGCGCCTGCCTTGCAAGCAGGCAATCGTGAGTTCGATTCCTGGTACCGATAAAAAAGGAAAAAGACAAAAAAAAAAAAAAAAGATTAAAAGGAATAAGGTAATAAAATATAATCATCCGTACTTTAAATAAAATACAGAGGATATGAGTATGCAATTATTGCATAAAACGGACTTTAAGACTATTATTAGTGGTAAAGAATATTTCAGCCAGATGCAGTGGTGCATGCCTGTAATCCCAGCACTCAGGAGGCTGAGGCAGGAGGATTGCCATGAGTCTGAAGCCAAACTGGGCTACAAAGTAAGTTCAAGGCTTGGCTGAACTACATAACAAGACCCTGCCTCAAAAAAAGAAAAAAAAAGAGAAATTAATATTTTATAATGATAATGATAGGAATCAATTTAATAGACCTATAAAATAATTTTAGAGTTCTAGATACCCAATAGCACAGCTTCAAAATATCTAAAGCAGATATTGACAGTACTATACAAGAAATGACAATTCCATAATTATGTAGGAGATTTTTACACAGTGTTGCATTCTACAGTTGTGAATATACATTCTTTTTAAGTGTGCATAGAATATTTGTCAAAATTGTCCATACGTAGGGATATAAGACAATTTCAACAAAATTAACAATACAGATATCTTTGAAAAATGTGGCCCCTAACACAGAGACATTAAGCCAGAAAATATTAATATTTGGACAGTCAGTTGGTTGTGAAGTGAAAGATGGAGAAACGGGAGCAACTGGCTAGACTGGACTATGGAACAGCTTTTCACAGACAGGAGTCCAAGCACCGCGCTCTACAGACTGCAGCACAGTGTGTCTGGAAGTGAATCAACTTACAATTCTGTAGTGGACTACTCATCACTGAGAAATACTAGACGTGCCTCCACATTGTTGAAATTTCTATCTGTAAGTTCTCTTTCCACCATAAAATCTTTGGTCTATTCAGTGTCTGTTTGCCAGACAGAACACGTCACCACATTTGAATCCTCTAATTTTCTAAGCTTGTTCCTGCTGAATATCTCTGACATCACCAGTATGCAGCCTTCTAAGCTCGTTGATTTTAGGCTTCTAAAAATAAATAAATACATCCTCCTAATGTGGAAGAGTCAATAAAGATCTTAAGAACCAATTGTTATTTGGATGTTTGAGGAATTTCAGAATAGTTCTGTATTAGCTTTTCCATTGTTGAGATCAAGTATCTGACACCCCCTAACCCTAAGCATTCAAGGCAAAAATAGCATAATAGAAAAGCATAACAGAACAAATGCTTTTTCTCCCATCTCACGGCAGCCAGAAATCAGAGCACAGGGAGGAAATGCCCATGAGAGATATACCCTCCAGAGGTGCTACCCCAGTGACCCCACCACCACCAAGGAGGCCCCATTTTGTGACAGAACTTTCAGCTGCAGCCATGAGTGGATTGCTTCACTGATAACTATAGCATCCCCCAATCCAATCCTTCTCCAATTAAGCTTTACTGTAACAGCATTTCACCCCTTGTTAGTGTGACACATTTCCTTATGCCAAACTTAATCTCTAAATACAGATAATAAAAAGATCTTAATTCCCTACACGATACAGCCGTCCTCCCTACAACCAAACTGCATTAATCCCTTCCCCCAAATCTCAGCAGTTTCAGCACTGCTCCAGCATCTAAGTCCAAAGTGTTCTTTGAGACTCAAGGCAAACCGCTAGCTGTGAATCCTTTTAAAAATAAGAAACAGATTATGTATTCCCAAGGTACAGAGTAAATACTCCCCAGTTTGAAAGGGAGGAATGAGGTTAGAAAAGGATCAGACCGAAGTCAAACTTCAGCAAGGCAAACAGTGAGTCCTATAGCTCCATATATGGCATTTATGGAGATGTGAATTCCAGAGGACTGAGGAGCTTGACTGCTATAGCCTTGCTGTTGCATCCCACACCGCCTCTCTCTTGGGCTGGCTCTGCTCACTGCCTACGGCTTTCCTTGGCAGACTTTCCACGTTCCTGGCGTATCTAACTTCAGGGATCTCCACTATGTCTTTGGTTCCATTCCAACATCTTTATACGTCTCCTTCTCAGAGGCACATGGCGTGGCTTCTCAGGTCTTCCTTTGAAATCTGGGTGGAAGTCTCACTGACTTAAAACTCTTACATTCTCTCAGCATGCCTGAAAAACCAGCATTGTGTAGGTGGCACCAAGGTCTACTGCCAGCTCAAGCAGTAGCCAAGCCCTTGTGGACCGTGGCTGTAGTGCACTCCCCGTGTTTGCATTACTGAGTCTGGTGAAATGAATCCCTGGGAACCAATCCCTAGGCAGCTCTTCTCAAGCAGGGAGCCCAGGTATAGATGATTTTCTGGATTTCTGCAACATCTATTGTGATTTCACTCTTTTCATTCCTAATTGCATAGATTTGAGTCTTGCCTTTTTTTGATAAGGTTGGCTAAGGGTTTCTCAATTTTATCTAATCTTTCGAAGAACCAAGGCTTCAATTCAAATTTCCTCTTCAAATAAAATATTTACACTTTTGCATATTTGAGCCTGTGGTGGGTGGGGTCTTGCTGATTCTGGAGCTCCTCTCACAGCATCTTTCCTTTTGTACTGGTACAGAGTTCCTGGTTTCTTTTCAGTGGTGCTAATCTCATCAGGAGCCAGACTTCCTTTGGCTCCAACTTTATGTATGGTTCATTTCTGGCCAAATTTTTAAGTTCTTCTTATCTTTCTAGTTTTCTTTTTTCGCTCTTGAGTGTCACTACAAATCTGGCTAAAAGCAGCAAGCAGCACAAGGGCCACAATCTGAATCTTAGAGTGCCTTGAAATTTCCTCTCCGGAGCTATTAGTTCCATGTTTAAATTTAGACTCATGCAAAGTCTCAAGACATGGGCAGACTTTTCATTTTTACTAGAGTGTGTCATGCATGGTCCTTAGTCCAGTTAGCAGGAGAGGCCTCACTCTTCACTGAAGCCTCTGAACTGGGCTTCACTGATCACATTCTCATCAGTATTCTGGTCTGAGCTCAAACCAGAATCACCCATCAGGCTGCTTTTACAGCATTTTAGGTTTTCTCTAAACAAATTCTTGTAATTTTTCTTTTACTTTTTTCTTTTATTTTAAAGAGAATAAAATAAAATAAAGCAAGACAAAACAGAGCAGAGCAGAGCAAAACAATGCAAATAACACAGAACTTCAAAACAAGCCAACAGGAAATCAACAGGGGCTGCCGTAATGTCTCTTGTTTTCTTTGAAACAGTTATCCATACCTTCACACACAATAAGTTAATACAAACAAAGTAGTATAAAAGCAATCAGAACAAAAGAATGAGAGCCTTATGAGTCTTCAAAATCAGGAAATAAATAATGGTTACCTTAATGTTTCTTGTTTTCTTCAAAATAGCTGCCTATACTTTCACACATATTGAAATCAAATAACAGAAAACAGACTAAAACCAATCAAACCAAGAATAAAAGTATTATTGGACTTCAAAACAAAATCATAAGAAATCAGCAATGCCTATCATGATGTCTCATTTTCTTCAATGTAGCTGTTCGTACCATCACACATATTAAAATCTATTCCTATAAACTCTTTTAAGTAGAGTTTTAGGGCTGTATAAGCCTATACATGTGCATCTATCCTTTCTGTATTAGAGGGAAAAACAAAACAAAGCACAGGATAAGAATGAGAAGCAAAAGTCAAATAAGTAACTATAAAAAGAGCAGCTAATTCTAAGATAATAACATGTAATTTATCAACTAGTGATTTCTTGCTTTTTTTGAAATTCTGCACTGTTTCTACTCTTTGTTGTTTTGCTTTTTTCCCTCTAAATTAAAAAAAACAGCTCCCAACAATAAAAATGTAGACTTTCAACACAAGGTGGTAGGAACATAATTAATTTTGTTGTCTTGCATAGTTATCTTATAAGTCTTACTTGAATTACCAGATATAGTCATGCAAAAATTGATCTGTTCCTATGAATGTTAACTATTTTGTTCCAAGAACAAATAGAATTAGTAGTACAATCATCTTAGTAATCTTAAGTGTATATATATAAATTTGTAACTTTTTTCCTCTTCCTTCTTTTCTCCTTTCCCTGAGTTATTTTTTCCTCTTTGAATAGTTTCTTACTTTACACAATATTTATTGAAGATTTTGTATCTTATTTACTATTTCAGTTTCTTACACTATGGAGACAATATAGTATTTATACATGTGAGTTTGATTTATTTCACTTATGAGTATGGTCTCAAGTCGCATCCATTTATCTATAAAAGCCTCAATGTGGTCCTTCTTTATAGCTGAATAATTCCACTGTATAAAAATACCATATCTTTTTATCCATTTTGTCAGTTGATGAGAATTTGTGTTGTTTCCAAGATTTAGCTATTACAAATCA